TGCAAATTTTTCATCGAAATAATAAGTATGTATTATTTAGTAAAATTAAGTTTATAAAGGCTGTAAAGGCATAGCGAGAAATGCCTAAAACGTTAGGTATACAGAATGGCCCATTGACAATGATTCAAAGTTTTTTTAGTGGACACCATAACTACCCATTTCAAAGAAACATTATTTCAGCAAAAATCTTTCAACATGTTATAAGTTTCTTGTTACTTTCTTAGCGGGGACGAAATCAATTCTTGGTATCGGTGTAGATCTAGATAGTTTTTTGGTATGGGAACTAGCATTCAACTCAAATATTTTACAAGCCCGTAAAATATACATAATACCATTAAAAAAGAAGATATCCATAATATTAACCTTAGAGCTAAGTCCAAACTCATGGTACCACGATTTCGTTTAACCAAGGTAAACGACTCTTTTATAGGGAACTGTATACGTTTTTACAATAAGATTCCGGAGCATATATTAAGATTATCATTTCCTAAGTTTAAAAACTACATTAAAAATATTTTTATTGAAAAGTCATATTACAAAATTGAAGACTACGTGTTAGATAAAGATGTATGGAAAGACGACACGGCTCCAGAATTCAAAGTGTATTCCATAGCATTTAAGTTTGTTTTAAAAGAGCAATCCCAAGAGTTTCTTGCTCGTTTTTCTAGGGGAGATCAGCGTAGAGAACGAGCAGTAGCTTAAATGTGACGTTTTCAAGTGTAAATTTATTATACCTATGGAATAAATGATCTTTGACTTTGACTTTAACTAAGATCCATTGTATTAGTGCAGTGCAATTTTACAGATCCTTTAATTTAGTGCGGCTTCTCTGAACGATAAATCGCAACACAGTAGTAGTTGCTCGATGGCTTGGCTTCGCTCAGAGGCGAGGGTGTTCACTACTCTCGGCAGAGGTCCACCACCGCAAATCAATAGCTCATTTGGGTCGGGGATTACACAACAAAACAAAATTTTGAATGCATTATATTTATTGTCACTTACTTTCAGAGAACACCGTGACAATGTGCAATGATTAACATAGTATTAATTCACACTATTGTTAGATGTGACAAGCGGACTATATTGAAACTGACGTGCAAATGAATATTCAAACGGTTTTATTTATAATTACTTTATTTGATTTGTGACTACATTACATACTATCGTTTTGTGTCCTAATGCTGCTCATGGAGTTTTTTCGGTATTTTATTTCTGTTTAATATATATTGCATTTTTGTCCATTTTAGAGTAAAAATATACTTGGGAAATGAAATTATTTTTCCTGATTTAAATGGCGTATATTTGTTTTTTCAAACAAACCGACCATAGTCACGGTTGAGTCAATCGTATAACCGTAAATCCGGAAAAATAGTTTCATTTCCTAAAAATATACTTATCTTGAAAATCTGAGAGGAACCTAAATCACTAATTTGCTGTTTAAAAAATGTAGTTGATTGTACCAATTTGAGAAATTACTCTGTGATGTTTAACAACTTAAACAGATAAAAAGAAGCCAACAGATAAGTCCACTTCTATTAAATCTAAGAGATATCTCAGCCGGGCAAAAACTGAAGGGCCTAATAAAGGGGGATTGGAGGATTTACTTGGACTTTTCTCCAATTTTCTAAGTAACATTCATTATGTTACATTCCATTTCTAGACCAAAAAATTCTTTCATTTAGCGAACATTTCAGCAAAGGCATTGTTTCTGCAAATAGGTCAAAATAACTACCCTCATTTCGTAATCCAGGTCATATGTAGGTAGATACAGGCAAACCACAGAACAATAAATACAGTAGAAGTGGTTAGTTACCGTTTGACACGTGCCGACCATAGGTCTCGAAAGACCTATCTGAGCTTAGTCCGCCATTTTCGCTTTGTGTGGTATGGTTGTGTCATTCTTTCGTGCAAATTCTCTAAAATCCTACAAAATGCCTTAATGTGCTGTTTTGGAGTGCGAAAATGATAGCCTCACCAAAACTATTAGAATTATTGGTGGTATTTTATAGAAGTCTTATTTTAATAAATTTTCAATTTTCTGTTTGTCGGAATAATTTTTTGTTACAAGAGTGTTTTGTTAGAAGCGACCTGGAGTAAACCCCAGGTCACTTCTTGTTCGGAGAACTAAATTAATAACTCCAATTCGTCGTCATTCAGGAATTAATCGCTAGATGGCAGTACATTGACTGAAATTTCAATTCATATTGAAATGTATTACAAATTACGACGTTTGATATTATTATCAAACGTTGTAATTTGTAATAATGGGTATTGATGATATTAAACTTTCAACGATATGCTAACAGGTTCAATTTTAAATTATATTAAAAATCCAGAATTTGTTATTTCTTTTCAAATTTGAAACTACGATCGATCAATATCAAGGTTTTGTTTGGCGACATCGGTTCTCATAGTAATTGAGGCTTAAGGCCTGTTTTTTTTCTTTCGTGATCTAACTGTAAACTGTGTGAGTAAACTGGATTCTGTTTAAAGAGGTATATTATAAATCCACATAACGATGTTGCGTACAATAAGTAAAATTTTGAAAAAGGTTTTGTTTCGGGTTTGACAATATTAGTCTCAATTTTATTGAGCAGCAAGTATGAAAAAAAGAAGCTGTAGCCCTAAGACTTTGCTTTTGTGTCTGTCACAATGGTATTTACATCTGCCTATTTACACACGTTTCATACGTTTCGTACAAAACGACACGTTTCTAGGTTCTTCGTCATTAATTTGTAGAATTTTGTTTGAAATGTACTATTGATTTGAAATATGATGTTCCATTTTGTCTTTCAATGAAGATAAACCCGATAATTAATATAATAAAGCGTTTTCATATTTTCATGTTAGAATCAATTATAAAATGATATGTGTTACACATTGTAACAGATATATGCGTAATTTGAAAGTAATAAAACATTATGAGGATTTATAATTATGAGCAAGATTATGTTATAATGTCACATAATTTACACATATTCGTAAACTGAATATATATACTTACAACAAAGTTCTAAAAATTTAGCTTCTATAGACGTTGAAATTGGTGTTTTTATAGTAAACAAAACTTAATAGGTATTAGAGACTCTACGGTCCGATTAATTAATTTGCAGCTGTTTTTCTTTTAAACCCTTAAAATATATGTTTACTACATCCACACGCAAAATAGGCGTTTTGTCGCCGAGTTGCGAACACCAGCCCGTTGCACCAAGCACCAAGTACCAACATATGTTAATACCTATTTGTATTCTTGTTAATACCAGTAAAAACTATTATTTTTATCGAATATCTTGATATTTTTACTGCTATGGTATTCATCTTTTTTTAGTAAATACTCCACTAGTCTGTTATTATTAAGACCCAGTATCGCTCGCCACAACGTGGCTACAAAAAGTCATTTAAACCCAATGCAAAGATTCGCAACAAGCACAAATAGAATTGTAAGATCTGCTGCTGATTCGATCCATAGCTCAATTAGCAGAGCGGTAGCCACGTTGAGGCGGCAGACGCTGGTACAAGTCCAGTCGGATCAAAGGAATGTTTCTTTGTGTTTATTCGATTTTTCTATCAATATTAACAACCATTATACACAGTTATCTTCTTTAGTAACACTTGTTCGTCTTTTTGTTTATCAAATTGTGCCACCTAGCTGAGTTAATAGTTAAATAACATGCAAATCTCTTTCTTTTATCCTGTAAATCTTCGAAATCGTGCCTACCCTGTCGAGATAATGAACTGCGATACGTCACGTCTGTTGTGTGATAAGGAATGTTACCTAGATTTGTGAGATTATTATTGTAGAAATTTAGTGAGATTTTAGGTATCCTCTTTATACAAATATTACGCATAAGGGAGTTGCAAATTTTGCGTCGGCGGTAGTTTTGAGTTTTTCGCTGTTATTGCATGGGCTTTTTCTGACCGATTCAAGCCGAATCCGCGTTAATAAATGTGGTGACTCACTACTATTGTTAAAGCTTAGGCGACCATATACGTGTTATGTATTCCAAAGGACTACTTTATGTGACATTGAAATGGCTAGATGTGTGCCTAAAACTTTAACGTAAGGTCAAAAAGATTATGACATAAGACATAGCCTATTCTTACTTCAGTACCTATTCTTCGTTGTTGCTCGACTCATCATTCGACTCAATGTCTTACGATGAATTTTATATTTTCAGCATTATTGTGTTTAGGTACAAGAGAGAGAAAAAGACGAAAGTGCTTTTTTCAAGCATTATTATTTATTTGGTTTTTCCTGTTTTTGACCTAAGAGTCATCTTTCGTAACAGTCCTTATCCTTACTATATTTAGTTATTCTACGATTCATCTTCTTGTATAATTCCTATCAAATTTATACATGCTGACATATTCAAAAGACACTGTGAGTCAGGTGTAATTCTTTGCAAATTGATATTAAATTTAGACTGGCAGCACAGACATAGCGCGCTCTTATAGGATTTCCAGAGATTCCACCATGTACTGTAGTACAAAGTTATATTTGCCGTCGAGTAAGGATCTACCACTGAACTATGTACGTCAATTGAGAAAATTTAGTCTTTTTTCTGCATTTCTCGGCCCATAAAAATATGTTAGTCGACTAAATCTATGTGTACGAATAGGATGCAAATTGCTAATTAATCTTACTTGCTGAAGATTTCATTAATTAAAATAGAATTTGGATATGTTTACATAGTGTTAGCTCTCTGTGAAGAATTTGATGATACTTGTTGCAGTGATGGCTTTAGAAGAAAGAAAGTATTAGAAATTTGTGTTTCATCTTTCACTTCCAGACATTTCCTTTGGTAAAACTGCTCTAGAAGTGTTAATTTATTGAAGGAACTGCCAAGATTTTTGAAATTTTGTAGAAATGTACTCGTGTATTAATTATTGATTTTCCAAAACACGCATATATAATATTGAGAAATGAAAGATCAAAACAGAATTTGAATTGATGACGAGGACGTGGTGTAGTAAAAAAAATATGAAACGATAATACTTACCTATCAGTTGGTGCGATTCCGGTGGTAACGTTGGCAGTGCTTGGGTTCTCCACTTTTCAAACTTAAGTAACTACAGCTAAAATAACCTTATACTATTTATTGCGTTCGGCAGTATAGCTTGCGTTACTACTAGAGGTATATTCAATGATCAATCAAGTCTACAAAGTTTCGATTTAGATGAGTTTTGTGCGTTGATTTTTATTAGACCTGAAACAAAAAAGACGCCTTTTACAGAACTGAAATATAGTAAAACATGAAGCTATTATCTATATAGATAAAAGTATAATCACGTGTAATTTTCGGTTAGATGTGTGGTGAGATGTACAGACAGTCGATGATAGCTACGAATGTAATCATTGACTGCAATGATGATATCCATGAATTATTCTATACGTGTTAATTAATGCGCTGGTGTGGAATGCCACGTGTGCTGACGTCGAGACAAAGTCAAAGTCAAATAATCTTTATTTCATAGGTAAACAAATTACGCTTGAAATCGTCATACTGATTAAACTCTACCGCTCATTCATAAGGCAGATTCCCCTGAGAAGAATGAGATTCCCCTAGAAACTCTAGGGGTTGCTCTTTGTAAATCTACATTTGAATACATTTATCATTACAATATTTAATTTAAACATCTTAGATCGTGACTACCTGCGTATTGCTACAACGGATTTTTGTCATTCACGTACGCAGAAGCTGTATAATAATAACCTTTAGGATAATTGCTCGTAAATAGCAGATTTTGGATGTCAATCGGAATTTTATCATATTTGCCCTTTAAATGAGTTTGAGACTTTATGAAGCGACTGTCAAGAGTAGCTACATTATTCTAACGCTATTATTAATGGTATGTATGTCACTATTTGTTATAAAAAAAATTTGTTATAAATTACATTTTGATAAATGCACTGCGACGTTAACGTAACAATGCCTGAATCTCTTTAAACTTATCTCTCAAAGACACTCTGGAGCCCAGACTGTAAATTGCCCTAATTCACTTACCCTGTTCCAACACCAACACACCAAGAAAAGAGCTGGCGGACAAACTATGGAGTAATAATTACCAGGACGTCGATTCCGACTACCTATTTGTACCCTTTGGAATCGAAACTCTTGGCTCGTGAAGTCCCGGTAAAGATGAAGGGCACTTCATCTTTACAAAATTTTATCCAAAAAAATAAAAGACTGAGAGTTTTTGAGTGGAAAAAATTTAAGTACAAAATGGTCACAAGACAACTCCTCTTATTCTAAAAAAGTAGAGGTATACCGCACAATAAATTTTCAAAACCAAACCATAAACGTCAAACGCTGATTGGTGTTCCAACTGCGGTTTCTGCTTAATCAAAACAAATGGTTTTAAGAGTTTATTTTGATCGTATTGTAGGTAAACTGCAAGAGTGGCGAACAATGGCTACAGATTTATAAATTTAAACCATTACAAAAAGTGTAAAGTACAAAAAGTGAACTAGTGAGGTAACTGTGGATAAACATATTACATTCTCTATGATATAAAATTACTTTGAAATAAACATGAACTTCTAAAAGCCACTTTAGAGTTTTAGTACGTAATTGATGATTGTGTAGAGCTTTTGGTTATTTAACACATTTACTCGACCAGTATGTATATTATTTTAGTTCAATCTATAATGAGTTATTGCATCGTTGTTTGGGGTGGCGTTTGTAAAAATAAGTTCTATATACTAATAAGTGGAGGTGGAAAGGGGGCAACGATGTATTCTTAAGGTAAATACTCAAGATTTTTCAGATTCCCCACTAATGAACTCTATCAATCTAGTGATCACCTTCTTCTTCTTAAAATGCCTCTCCACTATTGGAGGTTGGCCGTCAATATGGCAAATTTGTCCGTCCACATGAAACAGTTGCTCCGCGTTCGTGACTCCGGTCCACTCCCTCATGTGGCGTAACCATGACTTTTTACGTCTTCCAGAGCGTCTCTAGCCTTCAACGTGGTCACCTTACTATGACAAAATAATACATCCTTGATACTGTACTAGAACTACATAAATCTCGTTCTTTTAATCCTTTGCTCATGTCTCGTAGACGGATTTACATCGTTGCTCCTCAACCAATTTCCAAATCATTGTTTGATGATAGACAATTTGTAGTGAATTTGCACGGATATATAATATTATTATTAACAAAAAAATAATATTTACCACCTTTAGTGGCGTAGTTCTAAAAAAGCTTTGACAAATTTGGTTGGTGTCAATTAACTATGACGAAACGGAGCATACATATATTCCACTCCATTAATATTATTGTTATTATTACCTTGGGGACACCCTAATGGATGATTTTAGATGTAGTGTGTCGTTACCCTTAGGTAACTATAATATTATTATTGTTACCTAAGTCTAACACAAATTCTTAAATTTACACATTATTTTTGGTACATTATAGCAATTAATTAAAGTTTATTTCTGTATACTAAAGAAGAAGAGCGGGCCTTTCTGATACGGGTAGATGATACCTACTAAGAAGATCCAATTGTAACTCTAATTTAAGGTTTGAGAAAAAGAAATAAAATTATTTTGATTTTCATTTTAATTTTGTCAAAGGTAACTCGAATGTAGTTTTTTTTTCGTCTGTCATATTTAATAATGGTATACCGCTGGCCTTACACTATAGTTTCATTGTGGAATTTAAAACGCCGTGTTATTTCGATTTTTTTACAACATTTAACATTTACAAAAAAACGTAGGCTTAATTTACATAGCCGTGGTATGGATTAGGAGGAAATTTTTGTAACGAAATTGTACATAGCATACCGGACATGATACGCTGCGGGAATTCCCAAGATTGCGCGAGAATGCTTCGATAAACGCATGACTTGTTTTTTTGTTAGGTATTTCGTAGTGGGATGGTCATAAATACCTACGTATACATATAAGTATGCATATGTAACTTTTGAACAAAAGAAATTCATTAAAATTGATTCATCACAGGACAATCTAGGATAGTTTACGTAGCAGTAGAGCTTCTAGTGAAATAGTTCATCCAGTACTGCGACCGTATATTATTTCTGCCATCAAGCAGTGATGTGAGCAATTACTGCGTTTCGGTTTAGAAGGGTTATAGGTGTAAGTGAAATTACAGGCACATGGGACTTTTCAACTTACGTCTCAGTGTGACGGACGCAGTGGCACGAACCGTCAGATCTTTGCGATTTGAATTTCTGAGCGACATTGCAATTGTTGTAAAGAAAAGCAAGAAGCTAAGCCTAGTGCGGGGTCAGCTGTCAACCAATACTCAATGCTCACAGGCATGCCATCACGTTTGCAATTGTTTTCCTGGTTAGAGGGTCAACAGCACTTCAATCTTTACAATTAATTTTTAAATTGAACTTTATGTGCTTGAGATAAGAACGGTCGGTTATTGAGAATTTATAGAAAACTAGTTGGTGCCCGCGTCTACATCTGCATAGAATGAGCATTTCGAGTTGCCTACTGTACTATACTAATTTTCATAGTTTTATTAGTTCTCCATTATACACTTTCGTACCCTATTTCACTCCCTTTAAGACTCTTTACGTCCTAAAAAGTAGCCTTTGTCCTTCTCCTCGGTTCCATCTATCTCTATACCAAAATTCATCAAAAGTGATTTAGTACTGGCACATAGGACTTGTCAATTTATGTTTTAGAGTGACGGGTACAGTCGCAGTGCCCCTAAGATCTTTGATATTAAAAGTTCTGAGTGGCACTGTAACTGTTATGGATAGGCGTGTCGCTTTCTACCGTGCGCTCGACTTGTTCGTCCCGTCATCGTCGTGGTATTTATTATAAAAAAAACAGTTTAGGATCGTAACGTAACCGATAGAGTTATTTTCGTATTTATAGTATTACTTTGGGTATTCTATTGTTTTCAAAATTGTATAATCCTTCAATGCAAAATCATTCCTAGTCTTATTATAAACATCAACTGCCTCCTTGGCCGAACGATCACCTTGCTGGACTGCCACACAGAGAAACCGGGTTCGATTCCCGGGCCGGGAGAAATATTTATACGGCCTATATTTATTTCTCTCGTGAGTTTGGATGTAATTTGTGGTTGTCTATGTGTGTTTGTCTATGGCACTCGCGATACAGAGTTTCCCTAGTGCGGGGCTATGAGTGTGTACGTTAAAAAGAAATCGTGATCTAGATGATGCTAGATATTCCATTACCTAATATCCAAAATGGAATTATCCTCTTAAGCTCGTAAAACAAAGTAAACACTAAAAAGGGACTTTACGAAAGCACAGCAGTAAAGAATAAAATAGATAAGAATTTCATTGAGCAAACAACGAACGAACAAATTGTACCCTTGCCCTTGGCGCGCACACACGGTCATAAAACTGAAAACGTTGCTATCGGACGACATCTACGCCAACTATACTCAGAGGAATATAAACTCTAAGAGTAGAGACTACAGCTGGTATTCCATTAGAGGAAACCCAGTGACTGCAGTTAGATGGTTTGAATGTCAAACTAATGTTCGGCGACTGCACCGACACATTGCAATAAAAAAATAATTTATTCACGTCTCAGTAAATAAGATGATGGCCGCGAGGATTGAATATTTGGGCGTTTGGTAGCCAGTACAAATTGCGGAGGAATCATTAAGACTATGTCTGACTGGAAATTGCCAGAAAATGAGTGGTTAGGCAATGAATCTTTGTTAAGGAAGTCTCGGAACTTCCGTACATTTTGTTTGTGACTTTGGGACCTTGCTTGTGGTGGCAATTATTTGCTATCTTTTCCTTAGGAGATATTCAACACTTATGTTGTTTGGGGTTTCGTAGCCAAAATGGCAAAAAGGAACCTGTCCGTCCGACCTTAACTGCGTCACAGCTTTATAATACTGCCAATTTGGATTTGATTCAATTGTAGACACAGGTGTCATGTGAACCGCCACAGAGATACACATGTATTGAAATTACTGTAAATAATTTTATGAGTAGAAAGCTAACTGAGAAATATTTCGTTTTATGGTTTTTGAATTCACTCTTAAAACAAAACGAACTCTATGGAACTCTCTCTTGGAACTCTATGTTGATACATATCACTTAACCTTTTTTAATTAAGGAATTTATGATTTTTTTACATAATTATCATTATAGCTAAATTTAATTCCTTACCTACTCAACGATGTATAGAATGATTTACATTCACCAATTCCCTCATACAAGTATCAAATTACTAAGA